CCGCCGCCTCTTGAAGCTTCGGCCGCCGGCCACTGCCGCCACTGCGGCTTCTAAGAGCCGCCGCCTCCGCCGCCGCCTTCGGGGCCGCCGCGGCCTCCGCCTCCGCCTCCTCCTCCGCCCTCATCCTCGCCTCCTCCCTCTCCCTTGCCGCCTCCTCCCTCGCCCTCGCCTCTGCCTCCTCCCTTGCGCGCGACGCCGCCTCCGCCTCCTCCGCCGCCCGCGCCGCCGCAGCCTCTGCTACCACCCGATCCGCTTCCTCCGCCACTCGCGCCTCCTCTGCCGCCCGCGCCTCCTCCGCCTGCTCCGCCGCTCGCTCCGCCGCCCGCGCTGCCGCCGCCGCTGCCTTCTCCTCCTTCTGCCGCTGCCGCTTCAGCGGCTTGGCCAGCTCGTCGCGCAGCCGCCGCGCCGCCCGCAGCGCCTCCGAGCCGTCGGCGTCTCGGGTGTTAACGTTGATCGCCGCCCTGAGCGCCTCGAGATCGGCGTCGCCTCGCTCGCACGCCTCAACCGCCTCGCGCAGCGCAGCCTCGGCAGCATTGCGCGCCTCCGCCGCCACCGCTGCCGCTGCCGCCTCGCGTGCGGCCGCCGCGGCCTGTTCGGCTGATTCTGCGACCGCCCTCTCCCCCCCAGCCGGTGCTACGGTCGACGAGTGCTCCTCGAAGGCGCGCACGCACTCGGCGTGGCCCTCTTCCTTGGCCCACTGCAGCGCCGTCTGACCGTCAACAGTGCGCGCCGCATCTGCGCCCGCCCGCAGCAAGCGCCGCACGACGGCGGGGCGGTTATAGAAAGCGGCGGCCATCAGCGCGGTGCCGCCGTCGCCGTTCTGCAAGCTGACCTCAGCGCCGTGCCGTATCAGCACCTCGACCACCCGCTCGTGGCCTTGGTTGGCGGCGCACATCAGCGCGGTTTCGCCGTTGCTGCTCTGCAGGTTGATCGTAGCGCCGCGCCGCAGCAGCAAGTCGACCACCCGCTCGTGGCCTTGGCCGGCGGCGCCCATCAGCGCGGTGTAGCCGCCGCTGTTCTGCAGGTTGATCTCCGCGCCGTGCCGAAGCAGCAGCTCAACCACCCGCTCGTGGCCGCTGAAGGCGGCGATCATCAGCGCGGTCAAACCGTTGCTGTCCTGCAGGTCGAACTTCGCGCCGTGCTGCAGCAGCAGCTCGACCACCCGCTCGTGGCCTGCGCCAGCGGCGGTCATCAGCAGCGTGAAGCCGCTCACCTCGCCTTGCTCGTACGTCGCGTCGACCCGCCCGCCACTGTCAAGCCACGCCAGCACCGCCTCCTCCTCGCCTCGCTCAGCCGCCACGATGACCTCATCGGAGACTGGCACGCCACCCCTCGACACCGCCAGCGACAGATTACCCGGCCGCACCCGCACGCTCTCGCCGCCTCCCTCGAGCGCCACCGCGTACCGCCCGCCCTCGAAACTCTGCGCCACGCCCCGCCTCCCGTTTAGCTCGGGGCGGGAAGAGAGCCCGCCGAACACGACTCGCTGGCCGAGCAGCGGCGCGTCCACAGCTGCCGCTGCCGCGCCCGAGGAAGCGCCGCCCGCCCCTGCCCGGCCCTCCGCCGCCAAAGCCTCAGCCAAGACCTTTACGCACTCGGCGTGGCCCTTCTCCTTGGCCCACTGCAGCGCCGTCTTGCCTTTTGCACTGCGCGCCGCGGTGTCTGCGCCCGCCCGCAGCAAACGCCGCACGATGGCGGTGCGGTTGAAGAGGGCGGCGAGCATCAGCGCGGTGTCGCCGTCGCTGTCCTGCAGGTTGACCTCAGCGCCGTGCCGCAGCAGCAGCTCGACCACACGCTCGTGGCCTTGGCCGGCGGCGATCATCAGCGCGGTGTAGCCTTCACTGCCCTGCTGGTTGATCTCTGCGCCGCGCTGCAGCAGCAGGTCGACCACCCGCTCGTGGCCGTGCATGGCGGCACTCATCAGCAGCGTGATGCCGCTCACGCCGCCTCTCTCGTACGTCGCGTCGACCCGCCCGCCACTGTCAAACCACGCCAGCACCGCCTCCTCCTCGCCGCGCTCAGCCGCCACGATGACCTCATCGGAGACTGGCACGCCACCCCTCGACACCGCCAGCGACAGATTACCCGGCCGCACCCGCACGCTCTCGCCGCCGCCCTCGAGCGCCACAGCGTACCGCCCGCCCTCGAAGCTCCGCGCCACGCCCCGCTGCCCGTTTAGCTCGGGGCGGGAAGAGAGGCCGCCGAGCACGACTCGCTGGCCGAGCAGCGGCGCGTCCACAGCTGCCGCTGCCGCGCCCGAGGAAGCGCCGCCCGCCCCTGCCCGGCCGTCTGCAGCCGCCGCCGCCTCAGCCAAGACCTCGACGCACTCGGCGTGGCCCTTCTCCTTGGCCCACTGCAGCGCCGTCTTGCCGTCCGGAGCGCGCGCTGCAGCGTCAGCGCCCGCCCGCAGCAAGCGCCGCACGACGGCGGGTCGGTTGAAGAGGGCGGCGTACATCAGCGCGGTGCCGCCTTTGCTCTCCTGGAGGTTGATCTCCGCGCAGTGCCGGAGCAGCAGCTCGACCACCCGCTCGTGGCCTTGGCCGGCGGCGGCCATCAGCGCGGTGCCACCGCCGACGCTGTCCTGGAGGTTGATATCCGCGCCGTGCCGCAGCAGCAGCTCGACCACCCGCTCGTGGCCTTTGTGGGCGGCGCCCATCAGCGCGGTGAGGCCGCCACTGTTCTGCAGGTTGATCTCAGCGCCGTGCCGCAGCAGCAACTCGACCACCCGCTCGTGGCCGTAGCAGGCGGCGTGCATCAGCAGCGTGACGCCGCTCACGCCGCTTCTCTCGTACGTCGCGTTGACCCGCCCGCCGCCCTCAAGCCACTCCAGTATCGCCGCCTCCTCGCCTCGCCCAGCCGCAGCCACGATCGCATCGGAGGCTGCCGCGCCACCGCTCGGCGCCCGTCCCGCCGCCGCCGCTGGAGATAGCGTCGTCGCGACTCTCGATCCAGCCGAGGAAGCGCCGCCGGAGGAAGCGCCGCCTGCGCCTTCGCCGCCGGCTGCCGTCGCCGTGGGCCGTCCCGCCACCACCTCCTGGACGTGCTTCTTGAAGGCCTCGACGCACTCGGCGTGGCCCTTCTCCTTGGCCCACTGCAGCGCCGTGCTGCCGCGTACATTGCGCGCCGCCGTGTCTGCGCCCGCCCGCAGCAAGCGCCGCACGACGGCGGGGCGGTTGAGGAGGGCGGCGTACATCAGCGCAGTGAGGCCTTTGCTGTCCTGCAGGTTGAGCTCCGCGCCGTGCCGTATCACCAAATCGACCACCCGCTCGTGGCCTTGGCCGGCGGCGAACATCAGCGCGGTGCCACCGCCGCTGTTCTGCAGGTCGACCTCCGCGCCGCGCCGCAGCAGCAAGTCGACCACCCGCTCGTGGCCGTAGTGGGCGGCGAACATCAGCGCGGTTTCGTCGTTGCTGCTCTGCAGGTTGACCGCTGCGCCGTGCCGCAGCAGCAACTCGACCACCCGCTCGTGGCCGTTGTTGGCGGCGCCCATCAGCAGCGTGATGCCGCTCACGCCGCTTCTCTCGTACGTCGCGTCGGCCCGCCCGCCGCCCTCAAGCCACGCCAGCACCGCCTCCTCCTCGCCGCGCTCAGCCGCCACGACGACCTCGTCGGGGGCTGCCGCGGCACTGC